ACTGGACGAGGGGACGTTTTTCTCGTTCCGGAGAAATCCACGCTTACCCAGGGACGCATATACCACGCACGGGCTCTTGCATGGAAAACGCAACACGCGGATACATAAGCGCGCGTTAAATTACTGGGTTAGGTCAGTGTTCCGAGGGCAGTTTACGGCCCCGGTCACGTATGCGTGCACGCACGCCTACCCGCGCTTCTCTTATTTTCTCCTCGGCTCCTCGCTCGCGCACGTGAGCTTCGGCAAATGGAGTTCTGTCCACGGAAACCCGAACGCGACTCGTGAGTACTTGATACTTGCCTTGTCGGGGTCTAATTGACGATCGTGGATGGGACGCTGTTGACCGGTTTCTTCAGATGCTGACGGTACAATTTAAAATTGAGATATTGAGTATAGTTTTCAGACTTGAACCTATACAACGAAGGGGACGTATCTAATTAGGCTTTACCGCTACGCGGTTTATTAGCAAACTTTTCGGAAGATAATATTAGGCTTCTGTTACCTGGACGTGAGCGAGAAGGCTTGGTTAGTTAAATCGCTTGGCGAATCTTTATTCCAACCTCCCGACGCTCAACCAAACGGGTCGTATTCATTTTTCCCCTTGAATTTCGCGCTCTGCAAAAGATGTATATCTTCCTCCAGATCCCACCTGCGTGTTTTCATGCACTGAATCTCGATGTAAATAACCTACCGGTCGCGGGTCAAGAAAAATCGTCGCGTGACTCGATTCACCTCCCATCGATAGCCTATTACACAAGCGCGAAACGAGCAACAGTAGCACCGAACCGAAAACCACAGTCATATCGGTGTTTGGTTTTGTTTATCAAGGCACCCAACGACTGTACACGCTCGCAAATGAAGATTTCAGTTTCGAGCCGTTTATGCAAACACGGACAGGGAAAAAAGAGGACGGGGGAAAGGATATTAATTTCGCATAGAGCCTTCCCCGAAATCGAGACATTTTCCAATCGATATACTTACACGGTCGTTAGCGCGCGCGCGCGCCAGATCATCGGTAGAGATAAGCGACTACGCGCACACGGGGCATATACAGGGGATGTGTTTTTGCGCGAACCGGTTTTGATTGGTTACGTAAAACAGTGACTGCCACCGCTGCAGCTGCGATTTGAGGGATACCGCGCACATGTTTAGTGTATACTCGAACGTGTATGCTTTCATCGTAAAGTATGTGCACGGTAGCGCAAAAAATTCCCAGCGAGCCGTATATAACTTACAAATTACCTCGCGTGCTCCGTACGTATACATATACACACGTGGCACAACGTCACGAGATCGTATCTTTGGCTTCGGTTTGCTCAATTCTGTAAATTGTGTTTCGGCGACAGGTTGAAACTTTCCTTGCAGCCCATACAAGTGAATTGTGCGTAATGCATTATGAACCACTCATGGGTATTGAAAAAAAGCACCTCTGTGCACGCGCCAAGTAAAACTGGGGGAAATAAACGCTTCTTGGAACTGCTCTCCATAAAAAGCCCTTCGGCCCCCTCGATTCCCTTCGAACCCCACCGTAAGTAGGTACTATACGAGTTCTCGCACGGGTGTGTAGGGCAGCTGCAAATGCCCTCGCTCCGTTTCTCGGAACGGAAACGCGGACTCGTTCCACCGCCGTCGGGGAGGCACATTATGCAGGAATGACATAATGAGTCCTTTGCGTGAATGTGGAAAGGCGGGGGGGGGGGGGACAGGAGACTAATCGACAACTGAAAAACCCGCCCCCGTGGGACGTTGAAACAACAACAGCAATAAAAAAAGGGCTGTAGGACGTGAAACCCGCGAGCTATCGACGGGCGCGGTTCTCGGCCCTTTTTCTTCTGCGAGGGTATACCTGCTCGTACACTGTGTACATGTGTATTTGCTTCTTCCTCGGCGTGGCTTACGTGGAACAGCGCTTGATTCCTCGGAAAGCCATTGGTCCTACAGTTTATTACGGAACGAGTGCTCTCGTTGACGTGTCCTCGTCGTCGTGCTTTCACCGTACCGATCGATTTTCAGTTTTAAATTCATTTGAATAACGCGAGCCGATGGAGGAGGTGATTAATTGCCGTTTTGCCATAGAAACGTTTTAACTCTGCGGTACTCTGTTGTGATTATTCAGATTAAATCGGTGATGGTATTTCGAAACCCGTCAAGTCAGAAAGATCGAGATTCAGACGTATTTCGGAGCGATTTTTCCGAAACTCGATCGATTGATTAAGAGGCTCCGTCCAGCTTTGAATTTTAATGACGCGCAACGTAACTGACCGCACATAGGTAGGTTCTTGCCCGCGAAGTCACGTCAAGGATTAAAATGTCCCCATGCCGTCCCCGACGATCTATAAAAATTAACACGTCACTTGATTCTCTCGCAACCCAATGGTCACGTACCACACACCAAATAGTTCTGCAATTAGTGGGATAGAATTAGATTTTCATTTAAAAAATTCCTACTAACGCGAAAAAATGTGGGTTGTGGTTAAGCGGCTTCAAAACAAATTTAAATATATATTCTTAGACTCCAAATTGTGTCAGCGAACGGTCCAAAAAACATAGTAACAATGGTCGAAAATGGCTTTTCGTGTCTAGAAAAAAACTGGAGAGTCGGACAAAAAAGTTATAGTGGTGAAAAAGATGCTTAATTTCAAGACGAAAAAAATGAGCCCCGGTGGAATAAGACTTAAAAATTAAATACAAAGTAGATCTTATGTCCCTTAACATCCACACCAAAGTTAAGTTAAGATTGTTTGTAAACTTTTTGCAAACATCAGCAAGAAGCAAAAAATGGTCCTTCCGCAAAAAAGTCGGACGTGGCTGGTTTTTCAACATATTGCCATTTTTCAAACAGCATTTTACTTGCAGAGAGTTATTCTACAACCTACCAAAACGTCGTTTCGTTTGACATCAACGGAAAATAGCCGGTTTTTTGACATCGATTTTTCACGTACTTGAGGAATGTCAAAAATGACCATGCTTTTTTCTGCTAATTGGTCAATCCACATAAATATCTCGCCATGGATGGACAATATACGCACAGCCCTTCCCGCTCCCGTAATTGATTCTAGGGCTTTTTTATCGCGAGGCCTCTAAGATTGTACCAGCTTATTGCAAGGGCACCACTAATCTCGCTTCGAGAAAGAGATTAAGTTTCCTCCACCCTCGCGCGAGTAACCTATTGGCCCGTCCATCCGCTGCGATTTTTGTTTGTTTTTGCTTTTTCTGCATCGTTACGGGGGTCGCGACGAAGCCAGCACAGAGTAGGCCACCGCAGCCCTTGACTCTCAATTACCCATACCGCGGCTTTTCCGTGAAAGTTAAAAGGCTAGACCACGCGGTATTTTAAAGGATCGTTGAAGCTCGAGGTGTATGGTAGCAGTAGTGACGTAGTCCTACCTCACCCCGCCCGAACGGCAACCGTGGCCTCATAATTCACGGGCATACGTACGCGTGTACAAACATTAGATTCGGATAGCCAGCGAAATTTCCACACGGCACCAGTACATTACGCTCGCGGTCGGGGAGCTTTCGATTTCCGCGCGGAGCTTATATTAATGGCCACTTTCCACGGTCTCTCCCGTGTTGTATACCCATCGGCGCTGGCCGAGTTTTCGCGATCTCGAGAAACAACGGCAGCAGTGGCCGGATGATTGCGGCCTGCGATCGAGTAATTTACGACGAGCCGCGTGCCGTTTTATTGAGCTGAAATTGATCGATTAGTGGCTACGTGCCCGCCCACCTCGAGAGAGTTATGTTTGCGCTCGGGGTAGCACCTCCACGTCCCTTCTCTCCCTCTGGCAAATAATATCCATACGAGGGGACGTAAAACCAAAACTAAGAAGACAAAACAAAAAAAAACAACAACAATTAGTTGTGTAATTTGAAAAAGATCGCTGGGGTAATGGAACATTTACGCCTGTCATCAGGCGCGACCCCTCTGCGAACGACATGCAAACGCTTTACTTGGGTATATATACATTGTACGTGCCGTTCCGATCAGCAGAGGAGATAATTTTTCACGCTCGTGGAAAAGGAGCTAAGTATGCCTGTACCTACATTCGTGTTTCCACGAATAGCGCACAGTTTGTGTACGGAGGGGTAAAAAATGTATCGATTCTAAGAGTGTACGTGCGTGGGTTCCGAATATGGTTGCAATTAAAACTAGAGATGGGCGTGAGCGATAAAGGCAGGGGGTGGAGATCGTGTTTGCATTTGCTTAAGTTTGCTCTAATGAGACCTGGGCTCTCTGCGGTGTGGTGTGTTGAGGGTAAAAAGACATTAATCATACGAGTCGCCGTCGTCGTTTGTCCACCCTTTTTTTCTTCTTTTCTTTCATTCTCCGTGCATTGTCAGCACCGCGGTAGCCGTATACAAGCAGAAAATGATAAATCGAGGGGTGGACTGAGGCCAAGGCTGCTGAAATATGCACTTTCATGCTGGCTCTATCGGCCTGTTCCGGGAAACCCGGGGCAAAAAGAACAGCCCCGCGCAGCCGAGGTCCCTGAAATTACAACTGGATCGATAAGTCACGGGCCATAATGCAAACGGAGGTTGATCGACCCGGACGATATATATATACTTACCGGTACAACGCGTTGGAAAAAGTTTTTTTTTTTTTCCTCGTACGTTCCCCAGAAGGAGTCGGAGAAAACGAGCTACAGAGTCCCCTATCAAATTTCCAATGAATAGCATCGGGAGACAGATGACTCCGAGCTCTCGACGAGATTTCACGGCCCTTAATTCATACCCAAACATTTGCTCGACTCCATCAACGGGAGACCCACAGCTACCGTCATCCAACCCCTCGAGACTCATACCCGTAAAGTCACATGAGCTGCCGAGCAACGAAAACAAACAAAGCGTGCCTGTCCCCCCCCCCCTCCATACGAAATCACCCCAATAACGCATGGTAGTGGTTGTATGGTCCCGTGGCAGCTGTCTCCTGGTGCAAAGACGGAACGATCTATTTTTTAAGGCACGGGTGTAATGATTTTCCTTTGTGGGCGCAGGTACTGCAGAGGGACATCGAGGCGCACGGCCGGATCGTCAGCTCGGTCGTGAAGCTCGGGGAGCGCGTTGCAGCCGGGAGCAGCCGATGCGCGGAGGAGCAGCACCGGGAGCAGTCGGAGGAGCGCCGGCAGGAGAAGCAACAGGCACTGAGGGTCGCGGGCTCCCTGGAGCGGCGCTGGCATCTTTTGTTCCTGCGTGCCTTGGAGTGGCAGTGTCACATCGAGGCTTTGGCCGCTAGGATTCGCAGTAAGGTGAGTTGTGTGCTTTTTTTTTTACCACTTGCGGCTTGACATTGGGGCTCGAATGTATACCATGAAGATCAGAGTACGGTTCGATCAAACCTTTTTTTATATTAAAAAGGAGAATTTTTTTAGATGTAATCCCTTTTTTTGATGTTAATGGTTAATGAGATGGCTTGGGCGTTTGGTGCCGTATCGAGCGAGGGACCTTTTAAGATTCTATGGATTATTAAAAATATTCTTTGTTCATTGTCATGATTATTGAACATCTAAATGACATATTCGGATTCAAGAGTCTTATTGGCCTAAAAAGTTATAAAATATCGATAAAAAAAATAATAAGAACTCATCATGTTTATCTGTGCATGAGCCGAAGACGATAAATCACTTTTCTCTTAATTTTCTTAAATTCTAAGTTCACATATAATTCTCACATTTCTAAAAGGTTATTTATACAAAAAGGTAAAAATGAAATTTTTATATACAGAGGTTTGTCATTTACTTTTAGAGTTCTAATCGTTTTAGTGATAAATCCTACAAGACTGCGGGTTAAATTGGTGAGTTTTCAATGGCGATTTTCGGGAAAAGAAGGTGGTTGACCCTAGTATTTTTTCGTTGCAAATTAATAAGGCATACTTTAGTTGCATTAAGATTTTTATAAATCCAATAAAAATAACCCAAGCCACCCTAAAATAATGGAGGAATTGCGTTTGCCGAGAAAATTGCTTACTCGGAAAGAACCATCGACGAGTATTGTAATTATATCCGAGAAAGATTTATCGGGATCCAACAATGACGACGCTGCTTACAATAAAAACAACAGCGGGGATAGCGGTAAAAAATTCAAGTATAAGAACTCGACCCGCAAACAAACCGCGAAATTAAATTTAATTTGTATACATATATATACCCACATACACTGCAAGTAAGTAGGTATTACACCTAAAACGTGCTTTGCCCACATTGTCCGCTCGCTCCGCGTAATGAGTATTTATGCGAATGGCCGTACGTGCTACCGTGTTGCGCTGGCTGCGCGTATGTGTATACATAGGTATGACAATGTACACCCGCGATTATTTCGCCTACCTCCCTTTCTCCTTCAGCCCGCGCGCTCCTTTCTCTAGATCCTCATCGTGCCGCTGACGCTTCCTTGTACGTCTGCCATCAGTCACCTCTGCGCCATACATATATGTATACATGTGTTTACGTACCTCCACTCGCGACCAGATAGGATATTGTAATCTTGCGGATCTTATCCCCCCCCCCTCCCGCTCCGTACGTGCGCGGGGAAGTCGACGAGGCCACTTGGAAAGCTTATGATTTATTCGCGTCGGTTTATCCACGGAGGAAAAACAATGCGCCCGTGCGATCGGACTTTGTGCATACCTGTGCGGGATATTTTATAAATACGATCAACGCCGCGCGACGTGGACGTATGAAGATATATGTATTCGTTCGATTCACCGCGACGAAACCGTCAACGGGAGTATCATAACGAGACTCGAGCGAGACAACGAATCCTCGGGCTCCCCCCCCCCTCCGCGGTTCGCGTATACACACGCCGCAAGATTTGAACGGTAGATAATAATGTGAGCCGGGCGCAGGGGAGACTACGTGTTTAGGCAAAAAACGGCGATCTTATCCCCCCCCGTGAATTGAAAAAAAGAGGGGGGGGGCTGCGGGATCGATCGTAGGAGGTGGAAAATAAAAGCTGGTAACCACGATTGTTTTTATCGCGGGTCGTCGAGCATTTTCGGAAACTTTCTGGGTATGGCTTTGATACTCCGGTATCGTGCGGGTTTCATCAGAATGAAAAAGTAAGTATACGCGTGTGTCATGTTTGTGAATTTGGGAAAATCTATCTGCCGCGTGCCGGAGGCTCCAACGCTATATTCCGCGGTATATGGAAAAAAGAAAGGTGCAGGTAGGGTGCTGACGGAGTACAAAGAAGAAGAATGTAAGAAAATTCCACAATGTACGTATGTACAGTAGATCGACCTGCCCCACTATTTACGCGCACGACGCGTCTGTGCACTTTGAGGACAAAAGTGCACGCGCTCGACCGAATTCTTTTGTCTGGGTGTAGAGGCTCTAGTGTGGCAACAGTCGTGTGCGTACGCGTCTTTCTCCTATACCTGCATACTCTTCTGAATAATATACAACACTCGCGCTCGGAGGAGGGATGAAATAGGGAGAAGAAAGGCACGTATAGGTATAAGTGCCCGAAAAAGGCCCTTTGAGATGAAACATTTTGTGAGAGTAGGGGGGAGAGCCACTGTGTACAATGTATTAGTCCACTTCATTTACGATGAGGTGCATTGTGTGAGCTTGGTGCGGAGAGTCGCTATTAAACTGTCGAATGGGCGTGTTGATCGAGGGGGGTGAAAATATCGGTATACAGTTTTTCTAAGCTCGGTGCGCGAGATGAAGTACTCGTTGCGACTTCTCCTGTTTATTACCTGGTTTATAGTCAAGGATATCTTTGCCTTCCGTGATTCCGTGTAGCATAAAATGAGTGGAATCATTTCATGCCAGTTGGTTCAGCAAGAACATTAAAAACACGACTTATTTATGAATGGACACAGCTCGCAGTTGGTACGGTACGAGTTTTATAATATTATCAACCTACCTTATACGTATGCAAAACTGTTTGGAAAAGTTTCAAGTGGAATAAGAAAAAGTGATCGAATATTGTCAACAACTTTCTTTCAATTTGAGAACAATGCTATTTGTTCATGATGAAGAGCAATCGAGAGACTGGTGTAGGCAATGCTAATGCTCTCATTTTGTGATAGAACCTCCTATGTTTCGTTATTGTGACGAAAAAGCATCAAATGTACTTGGTATCAAACATCTATACTCTCCAAAAAGTGTCGACTCTTTCACTATCCACCACCAACGCTCGATTTACCTCGATTTATTGTACTTTGAGGAAAAAGAAGGAAACGTTTGTCAACGGAAATCATAAAAATCTCGACTTTCTTACCCCTCCGACCTCGCACACTTTTCCTTGAAAAACGCCACAAGTTGGGTAAACTAACAGCGTTTGCACATGTACTCGGTGAAGTCGGAGACTTTTTTATTCAGCTCCAAAGTAAACAAAAGATTTCAGTTCATCTTTTGGAATGAAATAGAGTAGAATAGGGTACAACAAGACTTTAAGAAATGAACCATTATGTCAGTCCCCCTTGTACAAAATATCAGAATACGGTGATAATATGATCAATTATTCGAATAAGATACACACATGCCTTTTACTACTCGTTCGACATGGTCGAACGCGACTCAAGATGATCCTGATGGTTTGCATTTTTGTTTTTATTTTTGAATTCATTGAAGGATTCAAATTTGGTTCGGTTGAAAATCGGCGGTGGCTGTTTTCATTCACGAAAGTGGGACTCGAGTTATAATTCATTCGTTGTTTGGCGCAAGATCGTAGATCATCGTAACGAATTCAGGAGAGCTGGATCGCGCGCAACGAAAATGAATCGAAAGTCCGGGAGAAACAGTTGAGCTGGCGGTGCGTTTCTTACTAGCACGAAAAGAGAAATCGGGCCGAGAAATTGAAAATCGATTTTCCCGCTTGATCGAAAGTGTTTTTCGACCAGCTCCCCGGCCAAAAAAGGGGGATTAAAAAACTCTGTGCTTACACGAATAAAAGAAAAGTGAGCGCGCGAATCGGAGCGGAAAAATAATCGAATCTCGCACCATAACGCCCCGCTCTATCTAATCTCTCTCTCTTTACAAGCCGTGGAGCAGTTCGCGTACACATGAAATATACACGCGGACACGGAGTGAGAGCCCGACGTGTCAAATGTATCCCGCATAAATACACATATACGCGCCTCATATCCACGCTCGATCGGAAACTTTTCCCCCCGGCACTCCTCGATATAATACCGAAAACGTGTACTTTGAAAGCGAACACGCGTTTGTCTTATCGACTGTTCTCTCCTGTGGCGAAAAATAAAAAAAAAAATAAAAAAAAGAAAAAGTATCAGGGTGCAAGTACACGCGTGGAAAGAAAGTAATTAAATGAACCAGCGTCGGGATCCAACTCTTAGCTGACAGGGTTGTTAGCGCGTGTCGGCATAAACCACGTCAAGTTCACGGTGCCCCGAGACAGCTCGCGCCCGCGTAAATGTAGCGAAACGAGAGCGAACGGAGACCAAGTAGGAACGGGAGAACGAGAAATGGTAAACCAGCAGCAACGCGTCCGACTCTCGGCGTGTGGGTATATTATATACATAGGCAATCTCTGTCTGGCTGGCCCAGTGACAGCCTGCATGCACGCGGTGGCCTTATCATATTTATATGCAGCCTCTCCGCTATCCAGAGCCGCGTGCGATTCTTACTTTCCATTTCACCGATTTTTCCCCTGGTTTTGTCTCGATCGGCTTTGAATTAGCGCATACGAAGGCAGAGATAAATTGGCTCGCTACTCGCGTTTTGATTACCTGCATGCGTCGGCGATTCCGGTACACCCGAGCGATGAAAGCTCGCTCAGACCCACACTTTTGCCTGCCGCAATTAGAGATCGAGTTGCTCTTCTGCGAGCGCAGTCTGCCATTGGCGCGCACGCGAGAGGAAAATTTCTACCCGCGTACATCCAGTAAATTTGGTGTTTTTTTTTTCCTTCCGTGTCATCGCCCATCAAGTATGCGCCCACTTGTGACTTTCTCACGGCAGCTGGATGCGAAAAAAATTATCGGCACCGAGGAAGTGGGACAGTTTTCCGACGCGTGCTTGCCAAAAAAGCGCGAGCTTGAATTTTCAGATGGCAACGCAACTCGAGCGATAAAGTGTTTCCCTCTCACAAAAACCCGACGAGCGCAACAGAGAAATGCTTTTAATGTAATTATACGACCATAGAAAATTGGTAGTCGTGTCAGCAAGTATTTCTCGCTCCACTCTAAACTACACAAACACGTACATAGTCGTATGCTCGCACAGTTTCTACTTATGAAAGCTGAACTATAACATCGTTGCGTGCACCAATGGCAACTT